ACATTCTGAAGTGGTTACCTAGATGAATGGGAAGAATGGAAGGCTATATAAGAAGGGCTATTTCTGTGCAGGAAGGACTGATGAGTGAATTTGATAAGAGTGTTGAGAAGCATTATAATCCTAGACTATTAGAGTTGGAAACATTCTAGGAAGCCAGCTCATCTAAACTCCTCATTTAGAAGGCAAGAGGAAGAGAGCAGAGCTATTCCACTGAGCTGGTAAGGGGCAGACTTGGGGCTGGAATTCCAGACCCTGGATCCCACACTCTTACCAAGCTGTCACCGTACTCTGAAATTGTTCCTTTAATTCTGCAAAAGTGCGTCAACTTGTTTGAGTGAATTTGTCATTAGACCTTCTCAGTGACCTACAGATCATGAAGATTTTGTTTGTTTTTTGACAAACGAAGGAGCTAAAAATTCAAAAACAAACCGTGACTTATCTAAGGTGACAAAACGACAGGCCGAGTTGAAACTAGAATTCAGGTCTTCTGGTTTACAAAATGTATTTGCACAAATGTCACCTCCAATAAAAAGTACAGTTGGACCCATATATTATTATGCAAATTCTTATGTCATTAAAATTTACTTTGTCTGCTGTTGTTCTTGGATGGGGAACAAGAAACAAAACCTCTAAAGAAAATGAAGGGAAAAGGTCAAACAGAGACAGAAGTTCTAGGTGATTGTTTAGGGAGAATGGAGGACAGGGGTAGAAGTAAGCAAAGTTCCTCTGACAGTGAACTTGGGGTTTTAAACTCCAAATTTGTACTTGATAAAATTGCCATTCCTAGGGCTGTTTCTGTTTGAGAAGCCACTTCCCTACTCTGGCTGGGCTCAGGAACATTAGAACTGGTGTCTGTGTATGCATGTAGATGAATGTCTCCAGGTAACTCTTCCATAGAGGCTACAATGCCAATCCCTGAATGTAGGAATTAGGAAAGATGAGGCAGGCCCAAGATGTTCTTATCTAGTGATTCATTTAAGATGGAGACCTGAGCGTGCTGGGCCTTGCATGGTTGAAGAAGCTTTGGATTCAGCCATCGGGCACATGGGAGCAATGAAGGGCTTAAAGGCTCTTGGAAGGAGGTCAGACATTGTGGCTCACTTTATAATGGAATGGAGGTGTCCTGCCTTTTTGTCAGGTGGATTGGCTACTTTTCTGTTGTACTTTCAAAGTTCCCAGGCTGCTACTGAAAGAGAAAGCTGTCTCCTCTTTTGCAAGCACAGGCTGTTTCCCACAGGCCTAGAGAACAGAGGCCTGACAGTGGGCTGGGCGCTGGGGGCCACAGCTCTTCCTGCTGTGGGTGGTCTAGAGGCTGTGCTACTTCCTCTCTCTAACTACATCTCAGCATGACATTCCTGCTCTGTCCCCCTTATGCTGTGAACTCTAAGAGCATTCCCAGGGCCTGCACTCAGCAGTCTGCTCCTGGGTTCTCCGCATGAATGTCACCTGTAGGCTGACTCAGAATGACGGAAGCACAGCCAATGGCAGCTCCTACCAGTCCCAGCGTGAGAAGCCTGCGAGCAGCCAGGCCTGTGCTAAACTCTTTGCAGCTACTCCCTCATCTTATCCTCACAGCAGTACTGAGCAGTAGTTAACCATGAGGACCACTGTTTTACAGATTAGGTTACGGCATGTCCCCAAGGTCCCACAGCTAGTAACGGAGAGAGTGAATATTTGACTTCTGGTCTGAGTCTAAAACCCAAGGTCACGGTCCTTCTTATTGGATAAATATGTACTGAATAAATCTGTGACTGCGTGAACACAGAACGTTGATGGCATTAGAGGTTTTCAGCGAGACACAGAGCACTCCCGAGGTGCCCATCCTTAGTTTGCGTGAACACCGTCCGAGGCTGTTGAGGCAGTTTCTGCTCATGCTCCTTCCCGTCTTGGGTCGTGTAGCGTCTGTGCCGTCTTCTGCCACCCACGAGATTCCTGCCCGTGCTTGCCCATCCCTTCATCTCCCCCTCACTGTTAAGTCCAGTTTAATGTCATTTCCTTAGGGAAAAGTTTCCTGATCTTCCAGACATGATGAGAATCTCCTATCCTTTCCTTTTTTTTTTTTTTTTTTTGCTCACAGCATTCATCACAATTGTATCCACTATTTCATAAAATTCTTTGCTGAATGTCCGTCTCCCCTGCTGGAAGTGCACTTTATGCAGGGGAGGTCCACGTTACTTTTGCCTCTGTCTCTCCCATTCATTGCTTTCACTGACCCTGTTGAGTTGATGAAGGGCTTCCCAATATTTAGAAGTTCTTCAGAGCACCCCACCCCTCCTAATGCCCCTTTCAATAAAGCTAGAGAACCAAGATTGTGCCTGGGAATCCAGACAAGCGTAATGAGACAAATTGCTTCCCACAGGCTAGGGAAACCTCAGCTTTTTTGTCTCAGCAATGAGAAAGTTCTCAAGGGCTTATAGGGGAGTGCAGGATGGAGTTCATTTAATTTTCATGAATGTTAATAGAAATAAAACCACTGACAAACCCAATAGCACTAGACCACATGCAACTCAAGGGCAGGGGGCATGTCTTTATTTTTATACCTCTCAACACAGTTCCTGATATACACGAGGAACTCAAAATCCGTTTGCTGGTTTATTAACTAATTTGAGTTCAACCAAATAATTATATACCCAAAGTGATTCTGGGCAGTCGTAGTAAACTCTCCTCTGTGTGTCTCTCTCTTGGCCACAGATCATGCAGCGGCAGGAGTTATTGTATTGGTTAGCTCTTAAATATTGTTCTTACCTGACAGGTGGAGTAGAAAGAACCCTGGTGTAGGAGTCAGGAGTTCTGAGTTCTAGTCTGGATTGGTCAGTGTATAAACTTTATGCTCCTGCGATCACTCCTCCTCCCTCCTGGGGCTCAGTCCTTCACTTAAGACATGAATGGATTATACTAAAGATCTTCCAAGGTCCCTTCTGAATGTATCATTCTGTGATGTTATGAGTCCAGGGTCTTATTATGACCCAAAACTTAGATAAAAAGGAAAGACTCTGCCCCAAAGACCCCTGGTTCTCAGGCTGTCCCCTTTGGGCACCTGCCTTTCACTGCATCGGCACTTTGATTTTGGCTTGTTCATCCTGTTCCCCCTGACTTTTCTGTCTACCTCCGATTGTTCTACCCACCACCTCTCTGCTTTATGCATCCCTTACAAAGTTTTATGGGTTTAAAGTCCATAGATAGCCTCACCTTTGCCATTCCTTCATATCCTCCTTCTCAATTCTCTCCATTTGTGACCTCTTTTCTCTCCCTGGAGCACTCTTCCCCTTTTCAAGTTGCCCCTTTGCTCTTTCTGCTGAAATCCTAACATGCTGGACTATAGCCCAGATGAACCATGATTTTATTTTGATCCTGTATTCATAGAGGAGCAAAAAATAGCATATATTTTTCCAGTTCCCAGCCCTTCCCTACTGCCCTCGAGGCATCTCTTTATCCAGATTTATGCCTCCTTTTCTGATTAAATCTTCCAATATCTATTTGATGTCACACCACTCTCTAACTGCCCTGCATTTCCCATCTTCTTGCCTGCACTCCTATGTGAGATCTCCACCAGGAGAGGGGAGCCTTTAGCCTTTTTAGACAAGGAGAAGCAGAGCTGGCATTTGTTAAGCTAGTGCTCCTCTTTTGGTCTCTTGTGTGTATGGAATAGTGACAGCTCTTTAGCTGGTCCCAGCTTGCTCTGGGTAACATGGAGTAAAACAGAAGCAACAGCTAATTTCTCTTTCACTGGGAGTTCTTCTCTATTCCAGCCCTGCTTCAGTGTACAGATGCCAGGGTTGCCTGAAGCCTCCATCTACTGCTTCCTCACCTGCCTGCCAACCGTCCAGAGTCGGCATGGCAGGCTCTTCCCTCCTCCCTCCTTTGCAGTCCCAGGATTATTAAAGGGAATATGATTGTTTCCTTTTGCTCAGGGAGTATGGATGTGTGTACATGTTTGTGAGCTTGAAAGGCATTGTCCTATAGATATTTTTATAACCTGAAGCAATTACAGCTGTCAGCACAGAGACAAGCTGTGACAAGTTGATTTATGTGTACAGTATATGTGTATGCAAGAAGGAAGGGAGGAAGGAGAGGGAGATGGTGGGAAAGAGGGTGGAAGTGGGCGCTCGTTAGGAATCTGCTTTCAAGGAGGCAGAAAGGAAGTTGTTTCTATAAAGAACACAAATAATGAAATTGCTTTGAATGTCATCCCTTTTCATTAACTCGGATATGCTGAGAAAAATAAAATAAATCCAGCAGTTTTTATGAAGCAGGAGACAGGATATAAGATAAGCCACTAAGTGTTGGTTATATTTAGGGATTAAGGGCTGGGAAGTGAGTTGACATATGATTTTGATCTTCATCCTTTCAAACCACTTCAATAGCCGGTTTGAATAAAATGGATTTTGTCTTGTTAATTATGTGGGCATCTCTGACCTTTCACCACTTTCTAAACTTCTATGTTTGAATAAAGTTTGGATCCCTGGGCCCACGAAGCAGGTATGAGGTTGCAAGTGCCTTTTCTTTGTCCTCCCTGTGAGTTACCTGAGCTCGGCTGGGTTTTCTGCTGCAACTGCTGGATTGCTCAGCTTAGCACTCTCCCTTCACGGGCAGAGACAAAGGTGGTTTGATTGTCTTAGATCAACTGCATGCAGACTGGTAGCAACCAAACATCTCAAAGAGCCTGTACGAAGACTTATTTTCCTGCCCAGACATACTAATGAAGCAATGGCAGGAAAATGTATTAATAAAGCATCTTCCATCTTAAATGGATTTCTAAGTATTTTCCTGTAGAGTTAATCATGTATGTAGGCCCCTCGGGAAAGCCTGTTGTTGTCATTATCCACATCCCTAGATGCAAAAACTAATGCTCATTTGTACCTACCTGAAAATTGGATGCAAGAGCCAGGATTAGCATTTACCATGAAAGGAATCATCCCTGCCATTCTCAGGCCTGGAGGGAAATGACTCTAAAGCTCAGAATGAGCCCCTGTCCTTTCCCCATGACGGGCATTTGTTTCCACTTGTTGTGGTGAGGATGTGTTTAAGAAGAGGGGTTGAGGGGGGGAGTATGAGCGATGGTTGAAGTGAATGGATGAATTATTAGAGGTGACCCCTTGGCTTGTGGAGAAGAAGCCCAAATTCAGCAGACTGAAAGTCGGCAAACATCATCTCACAGCTTTAGTGTATCATCATATTTATCTTAACGTGGTGAAGTTATTCAATTTCCTATTTCCACAATTGCCCACTGGAAAATGGAGACACTATAATAGAGTCTTCCAAGAATGAACTAGTGCTAAAATAGGTTAATTTTCCTCCTTTCCTTTCAAAAATACAAACAAAGCTCTTCTGCTCCCCACAGATGTAATTGTTTATTCCTGATGGTAAAGTCATTTACTGCAGCCGTAAGTTGACAACTGATAGTTTTGGTGTTATACATCAAATGACCCCCAGTGGCCAAAAGTAGCAGATGAGTTTCCCAGAGAATTTAATATCAGAAAAGTCACCAGAGGAGGGAACAATTGGCCCAATGATGAGTTAGTACAAAGTATTTTGAGATATTCACTGTAAAGTCGCTTTACTCTTGCTGGCTGAGCACGCTCTAGTCAGCTATGACAATGGAAAGCCAAGCCTTCTTAGTCTTTCTTTGTTACCCAAGAGTGTGGTTTCCATTTCCCCAAAGCCTACTTCTGTCCTATCTCCATAAAATAGTTAGTGTGAGGGAGATTTGATTGGTGAAATGTTTGTGTCCTCTCCAACGTGTTATCTGCATGTAAGTGTTTGGTACTGCTCCAAGGTTGCCAGAATGAGCCCTTATGGTTATATGACTCAGTTATAATGGTTGTCTCTTTCATGCTGGATAGCTTTTTGGAAGAACATTTTTTCTGTTATTTAACAGTTGTTCACAACAACAACATAAAGCTTCCTGGTTGTGTTTGATAGAAATTCCAGGGGGAAAACAAAGGCACTGTTGCCTCCTCTCTATCCCCAAGGAGAATGTGGGTCAGGGCTGGAGCCGGGCTCTGGGAATCCCTGAGAAGGGAGCATTATTAATGTCGCCACCACTGTGCCTGCTGGGCTGCTCTGTGCTTCCCCCTTGCACAAGCACCAGGCCCAGCCAGGGAAAGGAAACGCAGGCCATTCCCTCAGAGCCGAAGTTAAGGGAGAAATAATAATACAGGCACAGGAGGACCAGCAGCAGCCAGAGAGGAGAAGTGACAGGGACCGAGGCAAATGCAGTCTCTCCCTGGGTTTCAAGAATTTGAGAAACACATCTCTTAAAGATGAAATCAGCTGTGCCAGAGCGTGAGGCCCAGGAAAACTGGGAGTCTGCTGTATAAATACAGCAAGTGGCTCACACTCATCCACCCAAGTGAGCACTTTTGCAGGCCCAGCATCTTTTAATGGCGACAAAACAAGAATAAAGAATGTAAGTGGGTGTCTGAACTTGACCAACATTTTGATGATGCGATTTTTCCAGTTTCGCACACTAAGAAGCTTCTGTGATTTTGGATTTGTTTTTATATATGACAGATCTCTAGAATGGTAGTGTTGAGTCTCTGGGGTTTTGAGCAGCTTTTTGGGGGCTGCTGGGTGGGTGCTGTACTACTGAATAACTATGAGGTTCTTCTAAAACATCCTCCCAACACTCTGAATTTACTCTGAATGCCAACGGAATTAATCTGATCATTTTAAAGGTGCATGTATGCATGCTGCAGGGTGTTCCTTTGCCAGTTAATTAGTTTGTGACCCTTTTTAAGATGTCTCAAGTCTGGGGCTGATTAAGGTTGCACGGTAACTTTGCTTTTTTTCCTAATTTGGAAGCGCGTAAATGGTTAAACGCCTGGCCTGGGCTGGGCTGGTGCACAGCCGGGGACCGGCGCGGCGGGGGTTAAGGTGGGCGCCCGCGCCCTGCGCCCCGCGCCCGCCCGCCGGGATGAGAGCGCAATCCGCGCCGCCAGCCCGCCCGCTCGCTCCGAGGCGGCACCGGGAGAAAGTGGCGGTCAGGGATGGAGCTGCTGCCATGACAACCCCGGCGGTCGGGGCCCGCGCGCGTCGGGGCTGCTCCCGGGAGGAAGGCGGCGCGGAGGCCGGGGGCGGCCGCTGAGCTTGGCGTCCGCGCGGCTCCGGTGCCGGCTGCGCCGCGCCTTCCCCAGCGAGCTAGCGAGCTAGGGGCCGCCGCGGTCCGCTCCCGCCGCCCGGCCGCTCCTTCTTCTGCCACCGCCGCAGCTCCTGCCCCGCCGGGCCCGGCCGGAGAGCCGCGGCTGCAGCGCGCATTTGGGCTCCGAGGAAGTTGACCGAGGCGGCTGCCGCAGGATCCCGGGTCCGGATTGAACGAAGCCCGCGCGGCCGTCTCCTCCGCGCGCCACCCCTGCACCTCCTGCGAGCTCCACTTCCCATCTGCTATTGTTTCCGACTGTTTTCCGGTGGCGAGCCCGGCTCCGAAACTTACAAAGTGTTGGATTCCCCCTGTTGGAACTGAGGGACTGCAGACCGCCTCTGGGTGGCTGGATGAAGCCCACCCCGTCCCCTTCCGGTACCAAAGTGCTTACTCCTCTCCAAAGTGCCATGTCTGAACTGCCACTGGGAAGAAGCGGCTCCTGAGGCGCGCCCACACCTTTCACCTGCCTCGCGCTTCCCCCTCCTCGGCCACCTTCCGGGCCGAAGCCGCAAGGAGGGAGCCCCCTTTGGCCGCCCGCCGTGGAACTGGTTTTCCGAGGCTGGCAAGCCGAGGCTGGATTTGGGGGAGGAATATTAGACTTGGAGGAGTCTGCGCGCTTTTCTCCTCCCCGCGCCTCCCGGTCGCCGCTAGTTCACCGCTCCGTCCCCGCGCTCGCTCCGCACCCCACCCACTTCCTGTGCTCGCCCGGGGGGCGTGTGCCGTGCGGCTGCCGGAGTTCTGGGAAGTTGTGGCTGTCGAGGATGGGGGTCTGTGGGTACCTGTTCCTGCCCTGGAAGTGCCTCGTGGTCGTGTCTCTCAGGCTGCTGTTCCTTGTACCCACAGGAGTGCCCGTGCGCAGCGGAGATGCCACCTTCCCCAAAGCTATGGACAACGTGACGGTCCGGCAGGGGGAGAGCGCCACCCTCAGGTAGGGAGCTGACATTGTTCTACGGATTGATGATTTGTATGGGGTGGGGGTAAGGGGCAGGGGCGCAGGTGTGTGCACTGAGTCGTGCCTGGGTTGGCGGAGAGGTGGCTGGTTCCCTGGGCTGCACAATTTATGGCTGCGCTGGGAGCTCTGCCCGGGAATGTGGCATTCATGGGGAAAGGCTCAGAGGTTCTGGCGGTGAGCTTTTTCCCAAAAACTGGCCTCTGCGGCTCAGGCACTTGTTAAGGGTGAGGGGTGGCTGGACCAGGTGGTCGCTGAGACTGAGGGACTTGTCCCTGGCACTGTCTGTGCCTAAGCCTGGTGGCCGTGGTGACAGGGGGCTTGGAGGGGCTCCCCGTGAGCAGTCTTCTCTGAAGTTAATGAGTCCCAAAGGAGGGGTCTGGCTTGGAGTGAATGCCCCCACTCGCCCATGCCATGGGGCTTTGCCAGCCCTGGCTCCTGCACTCTGGGAGAGCTGCTGTTTTATCCTGGGTCTGACTGTGCCCGAGCTTTCCTGGGGTGCCTTCATGCCGTGAGCTGGTGAGCAGACAGAGGTGCTTTCTCCTGTCTGAACGTGGCTTTCTGAGGCCCGAGTCATGGAGTCTGATTTGTCCGTGGAAAATGGCATTTACTGTGGTGAACTGTGTTCTGTTCCTGCTGTCCACCAAAACAGTACGTGCAAAACTCGTCTACTGAAGAGAAACTAGGTTTCAGTGTTGGGTTGGGTCCTGATTGGCTTCTGGGGTTAAGGCTTACAGGCACTGGGGGAGGAGGAGAAGAAGAAGAATCTCGGTTATGCTTTGTGTAAGGTAGAATGATTCCATCTCCCTGATTACCTTGCCTGCAGAAATGGTAACTCAATTTCCAGTGTTGATAAACCACACCTCTCATATGAGGGCAACACACTTAATGATTGCAATGGGAAATTTTATTTTCTGGAATTTTATAGGAAAATAAGCATGAGGTAGAAGTTAAGAAGGTTCATGGGAACGATTTCCCTGCCTCTCCTTGGTTTCGTCTGCCCTCTTAAATAAAGTTTTCCAAACTAAGCAACAGAACTAACCACAAGGCAATATGGCAATATTCTTGTCCTTTGCACATGAAGATTTCCGGAAAGATAACCCTGGTGCCATTGCCTACTGTTTTGCCCCTCTGATGACTTCTTCTAGGATTGGGTTGTTTGTGGACTGTATACTTAAGGCAGTGTCTATAGGATAGAAAATGGTGAAGAGGAGGCAGTGTCAATACAGAGCTGAATTATCAGGACATTGCCAAAGGAAGTGTGTAATTTAGGGACCCATGGAGGGCTACAAGCATCCTGTGATCCTTTGTCTAGGGAGAGCTTATCCTCATGGCTCTGGTGAACTCCTAGTTACGTGTTGGCTTATGAGACCCACCTCTTCCACTCTTCTGGGAAAAAATAAAGCAACTAGCTTCCCCTACTCTGAAATGATTGTGTATCTGCTTTAAAAGTGGATTTCAGGGGAGTTACAAATATGCAGTGATTTCAGATTACTTAAATAAAAAACCAAAAATGAATGTCTAAAGCAGTAATAATCAAGGAAATTTAATGTTCTCTGGATGCCCTCTTTGTCCTTAGTCCTTGACTGCAAGGAGGGTCTCCCAGGGACAGAGACATTCTCATATGGGGAACATTTTAGATACAAATGGGATTTTTTTTTTTTTTTTCAAGGAAAAGGTGTGAGGTAGCTCTGTAGAGATTTGAAGATAAATAAACAGGAAGTGCGTCCTGGCAGACAGAGACCCTCTGTCTGAGGCCAGGATCTGGTTTCCAGAGGTAGTCTTCAAGGCTTCTGAAAATCAGGACTGTCCAGAGGGTGGCTGTATTCAGCAGAGGCTGAATCACGGGACAGGCCTGGGTTAGGAGTAGCTTCTTTTTGAAATCACATTATCATGTACTGGCTGACTTATCTTTCTTTGTCTTCCCTTTCATGCTTCTTTTTTTCTCATTCTGCCAGTCCCTTTCTCTGTCTCTTTCAGCACTAATGTTTGTTTGCGTTTTCACATGTGCTCTCCACACAGTGGTATTGTTTGGGTATGGATGGAGATGGGAACATGGTGGAGCTTCCTTTCTAGACCCTTGAATTGGCCCCAACCCAGCCAAGTTCCTTCTGGAACATCTCCTGTCATTCTGTGCCAGCCTCAGGGGCTGAATGTCTTCCTGATATGCAAGAGAAAGGCCCTCACAGTGGATGGAGCACTACAGGGCAGGGATTAGATGAGCTAGGGTCTGAGCCACGTCAGCCCTTGACCGTGGGCCTGACCGAGGATGTGAATCAGGCACCAGGTGTAATAACCATTTGGAGGATGCTCAGGCCTCTCAGGATTGCCTTTCTTCTCAGACTCTGATGCACTAGAACAACGAAGGGCTGCCCTGCTGGGATGGACTTTGGTGGAGTGGAAGTCCCTGAACTCTCAAACACAGGCCTTGCATTTTCTTGTTCTGTGTACAGAGAGGCAAGTAGGAATTTCAGAATGTATTTTGTTTGCATAAAAATTGCTACATTTTCATATAACCTGACTGTAGGTTGCAACAATCTAGTAGTTTAGAGTTCTGAGTTATTTTCTTTTTGCTTTGTATTGTGTGTGTGTAGGGGGACACAGGACCTTTCCTTCCTTCTTTCCATCTTTCTTTCTTTCTTCTTCCGTTTGTTTTTTTCTTCTTTGGCTAATCATATGACCAAGCGGTAAGGAACCACAGCTAGGGGAGACCAGAGCACCTGTGCTGTGGCCTAGAGGGCCGCCATATCCATCTTCTTATGGGTGATTGGGTGATGGTGGTGATACTTGTAGTTTTCTTCATAACCAGCAGAGGACTTTTTGCTCTAATTTCATTTTATTCTGCTTTGTTCTCACCAACATCATTTTTTGAGGCTCTTTTGCAGTCCCTAAAGAATAAATGCTCAGCAGAAGATTCTAATGTGAGGAAACTTTTAAAAAATGTTTTATCTTATCCAGGTAGCTCTAACAATCTTTGTGGAGGTATTGGGAAATCTTTCAATTAGCATAGCATTGACAGCCTGAAAAGAATTACAGTTTACAATCTCCCACTCTTTCTGCCCTCCTGCTGACATTCTGTAGGCATGTTTCTTAAAAGGGTGAGGTAAAACAGAATCTGCAATAATAGTACTATTAGCCAATGTTTATTGAGTGCTTACTATGTGTTAGGGAGTATCTGAGTGTTTTAATAATATCTAACCTATCATTCAGCCTCGTAACATTAACACTTCAATAACAGCCCTATGGTGTAGGAGATACTATTATCCCTCTTTTACAGAGGAGGAAACTGAGGTGTGGAGAGTTTACATCCTTTGATGAGGGTGGCACAGCTAGGAAGCTTGGAAGCCAGACTATGAAGCACTGGTAATAATCATGTTAATGGGATGCATAGTACTATCATTGGTCTGTTACTGTGTGAACATTTTATGTAAACAGTAACATTTAATCCTCACAACTCTCTGAAGTAGACTTAATTATTCCCCGTTAAGACCCAGTGAGGGGGAACTTACCTGAAATGACACAGGCATCCAGTGGCAGGCCGGTATGCTGCCTCAGGACTCCGCTCCTTGACTTTGTACACCAAGCTTCCCAGGACTATTCAGGACCCTTTGAATTCTGTGTTCCTCTCATTCCTCTGTGGCACTTAATGTCTGCCCTATTCATTTTGGCTTAGACCCTGTTTTCCAATGTTCACTAACTCTCTGTCTTCTTTCTTCCCTTGGGCTGCAGAGCACCTCTGGAAAGCGAGAATCATGCCTTGTCATGGCATGAGCACTGTGTGCTGGCAGATTCTTACTCAAACAAAATGAATGAAAGCCAAACAGCAATATCCCCCAGCTATATTCAATTTATCTCCTTACCACATTTCTCTATCATTTTATTTCAAATTTCAACTATGGTCAATCAAAAATGTATTGAGTGATTCTTTCAAGAAGGGGACTGTATTAGTCCGTTTTCACAGTGCTGATAAAGACATACCCAAGACGGGGTAATTTATAAAGAAAAAAAGAGGTTTAATGGACTCACAGTTCCACGTGGCTGGGGAGGCCTCACAATCATGGCAGAAGGCAAAAGGCACATTTTACATGGCAGCAGACAAGACAGTGAAAGCCAAGAGAAGGGGGAAACCGTTATAAAATCATCAGATCCTGTGAGACTTATTCACTACCACGATAACAGTGTGGGAAAAACTGCCCTGATGATTCCATTATCTCCCACTGGGTTCCTCCCACAACACATAGGAGTTATGGGAGCTACAATTCAAGATGAGATTTGGGTGGGGACACAGCCAGACCATATCAGGCACTGAGCTGTTTGGGTGTTTGGGTGTGGAAAGGCATATGGCCTGGACTTGGCTTTTGGGGGCTTGGGTCCAACTGAAAAAGCTGGCCATGGAGAAAGAGATCATTGACCTTGTGAGGCAGAGTACACCATGAAAACGTAGGCGATCACGCTGTCTGTGGCTGGAGCAGAGCCCCTCTGTTGGAGCGAAGGCTTTCTGTGGGTTGTCAGGACTTCACTAACTCCTAGCTCCTGGGTGGAAGTGAGCAGACATCAGTGAGGAATTACAGAGCCCCAGATGCCCAACTGCATGGGTGTCATTCACTTAGAGACCTTCACTAAGCATCAACACACCGGTCACTTGGCAGTTCCAATGAATGGTTTCCACGTTTCGGAGATTCCCCAGTTAAGGCAGCAGCTAGTAAAGTACATTATTTCCTGGGGATCACTTGGTAGGTGGGCATCAGAGGCTGAACTCTGCATTCTGTTGTGCCTCTAGACCATGGGCTTAGCGATTGGATGATGTTGCTTTTCTAGGGTGAGTTAGGAATTGAAGGTCTGAGAAATGTATGCAATTTAGGTTGAGTTTTGATGTGGAACTCCATTGAATCACACAGACTAAATGTGGTTTTGATACTTGAGAGGACCCAGGGAGTCACCCTCTAGATGAAGGAAGCTGTGGCACTTTGCTCATGTCA